TGAATTTTTATTTTTGAAAATGTTCATGCATCTAAATTTATGATTAGTTTTTGAGTTATTAAACTTAACTCCTTTAAAATATTATAGTCTTTATTGATAATAGTTATAGGTACATAAATACCTAAATATAATATTCGTATGCTCAGATAATTTTTGTAAATTAAAAAAAATCATATATAATATTATTAATTACTAATAATTGCCTACTATAATTTAAAAAATCATCAAGCCATTAATCTTCATATGGCCAGATCTTTGAAGCAATTATTATTCTAGTTACATATATATTAATAAGTCAGAAACTGCACATTTGAGTTTTGATTTATATACATAAGCCATCTGCTTGACAATGTATATTAAAAAAAAGGGGTTCACGTTTGAAAAAATAGTTTATCTCGTCACAGACACTCTTTGATAAATGGTATAAAAAATATGCTTAAAAATTCCGAAAATCAGAATTTTAAAAATGCATTATTAAAGGAAAAAGCAGGAATGAGCATGGCTGATAAATGCCCCAGTATAATTGTGAGATATATGGGATTATAAAATCATTCAAATTCCATAAAATGTATACTGTATAATAATGGGTGGTGTTTCGAATAAACAATGCAGATAAGTGACAGTGCAGCACAACCGCCGGCGACAGACGAGAAACATAATATTATTATATATATTATTATATTTCATACGCAGCTAAACAGAGATGTTCTTATTCAAAATGCATTAAGTGAACGTTGTATTTATAAACCACTTTTGCATTAAACCGTTATGGCACTTAGAGGATCAATATATCGCTTAAACTTAAAAAGAATACCCGTATTTAACGAATATCGTTAAAAATATGACATATGTCTTTCACCCATTGAACACTCATTATTTCAAAAAGTATTAATGTTTTTGAAAATATTATTTTATAGTTTCAAGTTGTCAAAAAAATATACTTTTAAATATTTTTTATCCTTATAATTTTTGAAGTTTTTTATTTTTTTGAATGAAAACATAGAGTTTTAATTTCATATTCCAAAGCAGAATATTTTTCTAAGTATTTTGAAACATAAAAATCGAATTTAGGACGAGTAGTTTATGAGTTATATATATTTAAAGTTTAGACAAGCGGAGTAGTGGATAAATATTTTGCATTGTAAACCCGTACCACTCCTCTCCGCCCATCTAAACTTTAAATACTTATAACTCATAAATTACTCGTCCTAAATTCAGTTTTTATGTATAAAAATACTTAGAAAAATAGTCTGCTTTGGAATATGAAATTAAAACTCTATGTTATCGTTCAGAAAAGTAAAAACTTAAAAAAATAAGGATAAAAAAATGTTTAAAAAAATTATTTTTTAATAAAAACGTTGTTTTTAACAACTTGAAAATATACAAAATAATATTTATAAAAACAATAATACTTTTTGAAATAATGAGTGTTCAATGATAAAAGAATCGCCCTGTATTTATATATACAGATAACCGAGGTGAGCATTTGGACGAGAAAAACTGAATTGAGTTAGTTCGGTTAAGTCAATGTTTAAGAACGTTATATGGTATAAGCTATATTTAGTTAAAAGTCGACAATTAATAATATATTATTTACCTGCGAAAGTTTAATGTTAAGACAGAAAAAAATATTAACTTAACTCAATTAAAAAGAAAATACTACATTTTTTTTATTTACCTCTTGGATCACTCATATAACTTTGTGCAACTTTCAACTTTTTTAATTATATTATATGATATTTTGTTAAAATATATCCTATACAATTCCTTCTTTATGCATAATACAGTTGTACAGGTTAATGCAATAATTACACGTTTGCATATACTAAATTATTAAATCTAAATTTTTTTTTTATGTATATTAGGTAGGTATGTATACAGAAATGATTAATTAAAAAATAATAATTAATTGTAATTTAATCTTTATTTGCAGATATGTATAAAGATGGTTTAACGATTATTCAACATACCTAAGAATAAAGCTTTAGTTCTGAAGTTAATCAGAAAATTAATTAACTAGAAGTTTACACGCCTTTACACACCATAGAGGATAACCTAGTATCCACTCTAACGTTTAAACAGCAATCATTTATCATCCTATTAATTCTGATTATCATTTATTTTAACCGCAAATTGGGTTAAATTTATGGGGGTGCTATATTTATGTCGAATAGAGGGATTGCTTGGGGGGGCAAAGCCCCCCCCCCTCCATTCATACAACGATGTGTGGTGTATCGGCAATATATTCAACAAAATTAATTTTCTTTTATTCTTATAATTATTACAAATAAATAATCAAAGAAACTTGAAGTTTGCACTCGAATGTTGAGGTCCTCGTTTTCTAGACATTAAATAATTCAAAGCATATTTTGGCTATTTTTCAACTATTTATAGATTTGTGAAGTGTTTGACTTTTTACGATAATTTTTCAAGTGTTGTGCTAAAAAAAAATATGAGAAAACCATTCCACAGAGAATTGTATGGGACCGTTTTGTATCTATTATACCGTCCCAGACGATTGTTACGAAAGTACCCAAAAAAGTGTTTGACCCGAAAAGTTGAAAAATTTTCAAAACGCGTTTTTACAGATAGTCGAAATTGAGTTTTCTTGCATTGCTATCGGAACTAACTAAATTGGAAAAGTAAAACTATATCGTAAGCATATTTTATTTCAGTTTTACATTTCAGAAATCCAATTGACGAAAAAATATGTCAAATGCTATCGTCGAACGTGCCATCAGGAAATAATAATTTACATAATAGTATACTGTGTAGGTAGGTAATACCTACTCATATTATACAACATGATATTATATTTGCAAAATAAAAGTGCAAGAAAAACATGTACTTCGAGCAGTTGTACACATACTCCCGATATAATATTAATATTATGCCTTATGAGTTATGACAACAATGACTATTAATTCGAGGAAAAAAATAATAACATATAATTTAATTTGACTATTGTAACTTTTGTACGGCCATATCATTATAATCCGCGAAGACTGAACGCCTAGTACAATAGTCGTGTATGTATGTAGACACGCACTCGTACTTTTGTCTGCCACTATATCGATTTATTAATATCATTATTATGCCGGGGAATAGTACAAAGACATTCATTTTTCATGTTTTTACCGATATGCGTGTACAAATCGACGACGAACAATAACTACGGCGACGACCTTTTAAGTCGGAGACTATACGTGTAAATGTGTGATCAATACAATTATGAACATTTAGGTCTGATATATCAAGCACTTTGTATTAAATATAATATTGAACCGAATGCTCGTAAATTTTTTCTACAATAGAATTAAATCACATATTACGCAAAAATGTAAAATAGGGTCAAGGAGGACAGTGATGCACAACCTTTATTCGACTTTATACCGCGAAGAAATGTTTTATCTTTAAATAATACAAATAGGGCCGTCAATACAATTATACAAATAGATTTATGATATTGTGGATAAAAAAACCGTCTTTAATAACTAATCAGTATTTAGAAATAATTTAACATCATTTTATAACTATTACGACTGTTGTCTGTTAGGTATGGACAATTAGTGTTAGGTACATAATTACCCCTATATTATTATTAATCATTTCCTAATTATTAATACGACATATTACTGATATCAGTTTTTATTTAAAAAATTACATACGAAATTCTCCGTAAATATACCTTTTTTTCTAATAATATTATCTATATTGATCTACGAACTTATAAACTATATAAACAATATTTTACTGAAAAGTTTTCAGAAAAATTTCTGAAAATTCAAAATTAACTTAATTGGGAATATTAAAAATAATATAAGTTGATTTTAAGTTATCGTAGATACAAACGAGTTAAGTTAATTAAAACATCAAACTAATAAGTTAAAATTATCTTAACTTTTAACTTATTAACTCATTTACGCCCATACTTGAATATTAGTAATTAGTATAGAGATATATGAAACCAAAGTAATTTTATCAACGTTAATAGCCATTGTGAAATGGTACACACCACATTCGGTGTGACACCGCTTCGTACAAATAGGTATAACTCGTACGTTCAAACCTTACGAATATACTTTTATTGTTCTGGAAACACGTATAATTTACAGGGGGGACGGATACCTATCGTCGGATGTAGACAATCCTGAAGGTCCAACGTTTACTGCGTCCGTATAAATTATACAAATCAAATGGGTACCTATGAGTTTATGTGTCTATAGTAAGTAGTAACTCCAGGTGGTGGATTCAGTTGACTATGACAGGCCCGTTTAACTAACTGGCGTCTGTTCACAATTCTCTGATTGGAGAAGCGAGGCCTAGGCAGCAGAGCTTGGAAGGACTAACATTAATTGTTATATTGGTCAGGATGTGGATGGCAGTCGTCCTTTTTCGTGGTCGGTGGCCCGGGAACATTTCGTGATTATTGTAGGTCCTTCCTCTAGATTTATGGGTAGTGCTCTCCGAGTAGGAAATTGTAGGAATTGAATTGAATTCATACATAGATTCGACAGTATATTTTTATAAACCAAAAATGACCACTTCAGGTCAACGTTATTTGATAGGAGCGTACTTAAAATTAACAATGCTGTAATAAAATATCTCGTAAATAAGCTCCTAAATGTAAGAAATTATCATTATAATAATTGTTTAAAGAAAGTTTATGGAATTGAAATCTTTACTTCATTTGTCTAAATCCTGGTACAATATGTGATATGATTCCGATTGCGCTGAAACCGGTATCCTTTTAAGAGCATTCGTAGGTTTTTATTCATCAAAACTATAATTTTTAAATTATGATTTAATTGTAACTATCTGCTGCATCTTATTACTAGCTGGCTACAAGCTAACTATACCTACTGGCCACAATAGAAACAAGAAAAATAACACTATCTAATATTGTTTATTTGTCATAGGTAACAAATTATTATTTGAAATCCATTATAAAGTGTTTAGCGCTACCCATCCTTGACAGCCCTGTTAGTAAAACCGCAGAGATGGACGCCCACTTGGGAATTTCACAATTCCAGCAGTCGTACGAATGTGCCAGCGAGGATCGATGTGTTGTTGACACGCTCGATCTGGCCGTCGATCGTAGGATCACGGCCGTCTGGTTTCCTTTGAGGAGCAGACATGGAGATAGTCTCCAGTCGTCGCCCGAGTTGAGGATTGACTCACCCGTGTACCGGAGTCCGGAGCGTAGTGGTGGTAGCCGCATCGACGGTGACAGATTTTCAAGATTTTCGTGTGAACGCCTTCAATCTGAAATCCCTGCGACCTCCGCATGTCCGATCATTGATCGCCGAGCTGGACTTGGCCCGGCGATCGTAGGATCTCTTTGGCTGTCGAGCCACCGTTGCGGGGCGAACATTTCCGGTCGTGCCTAGAGCTGAGAATTCAGTCACTCGCGTACGGCGGAATGAATACCGTCCCGCCGGCACCAGCGGAAATCCTGCAGAAACCGGCACTGTCTGAACGCCGCCAATCCGCGTGGAAAAGATCAAAACGATTCATTTGGAATGGTCTGCGGTGAATGTGGCTCGAAGAATTTGTTTCTGTCAGAGCTTTGTGGACATAGAATAAGATTCGCTACGTTACCACAGTGGTCGCTGCTGAGTTACCTGCAGTCAGCCGGCGATCAACCTGCAGTTTTTTGGGGTATCTACCAAAAGCGCAGTTCGTTGTGTTCGCTGGACTATACTCGTCGGACTTCTCTCAAGTTCGTCGAACCAAGTTAGCGTACTGGCGTATTGTTAAGCCGTCGTATTAGTGGCATATTAAGTATATTCGTTACGTTTTGTGTTGTCGCTGCTGGGGATGTGAATAGCCAATAATCTTAGTTACGTGTGCCTCACGGTGCCATTGTGAAGTCCACTGTCGCCTTTTCCAGCGACGAATAGACAGAGCAAGTATCTGATCTCTATGTCGTTATGTTATAATAGTTTTGGGTTTGTGGTAACAAGCTACATTTTGTAGGTACTCACCTTTTTTTGTGTATTAAAATAACTAATGTGTATCATATAGATATAATATACCTAATATAATTATCTACTACAATAAACCAAGATACTAATATATTGATTTGTTTTATATATTATTTACTATGGTAATTTTCTCCCTCAACTCTTCGAAAGTCGTTTCAACTAACAAACAGTGTTTACAGTGTGGCGTCAAAAAATAAGTTGAGCTCAAAGTGTACCAGCTGCCATATTAATTGTTATTTAATTTTGTTTTATAGTATTCCTTTGTGGAGCTGGCAGTGAGATGCCGTCATAAGCCACTAAGCAGTAACTCCAAAATACGTAGTTTTGAGAAAACAATAAAAACGTTTTTAACACTAAATTAGTCCGTAGAGTAAAAATAATATTATTTTAAACATTAAGGAGATGGTATGTGTTATTTTATTTTTAATAAGAAAACTATTAAACAAAAAAAAGTTTTTATGGGTTTTAATGGAATTAGGTACTGCATATTAATCAGAGGATGAAAATCAGTAAGTACTCTTTTGTTTTGTGTTAATTTTTTTGTGAAGATAGAATTTTTTAGAAATACTGTATAAATACTGGCTATAGTAATAGATGCCTATAGTATATAGCTCTACATTTTTTTAACTTAATAAATTGGGTTTATTACAAATTATTTAAACGTTGAACTTTTTCGTATTATCGTCTATTATTGACTTAACTTAACCGAAAAAAAATTACGTATTTTAACTTGCTCGCCCTTGCTACTGGTTAGGTTAGGTACCTATTACCTTCCTAACTTTAGATGCTATCATTCCATTTCTAAATTTCATAAATGTCGATATCCATGAATATCATAAGACTTATAAATGCGTCGATTCTATTAAATTCAGAATATTACCCACCTAGTTAAAATTATTTTATTTTATTTTACATCTTTAAAATATTAAAACAACAACGTTTAAATAGGTACTATACAATTTAACGAGTACAAAGCTGTGGGCTCTGGCAACCATATAATATTAGTAGACAAGTTTCTGCTTATAATTAAAATTTTTCTTATGTAGTGGTTCATCATAATAATATGCTTAAAATTAAAAACGGTATTTAGTTTATAAGTTATTACACTATAGAAGAGCGTAAGACGTATTTCTTTCTAGGAATTATTTTTATTCTAACTCTACCTATTATATAAATCATATTTTATACAATTTAATAACACATCATAATATGGTAACAAACTTATAAAATGTATGTAGTTCATAGTATAATAATATTATACTATAATATACATATATAACCAAATTAGTTTTAAGCATAAATAGTACCTACCTACATTTTATATTGTACCTACCTATATATTATTTAAATAAGATGTGATTCTTGTATTGTTAAAAAAATATATACATACCTGTAATTTCTTAGTTATAACTAATAATTAGGTAAGTTTTTTCGTCAATTAAAATATTCATTTAAGTTTAAAATTAATCAAAAAAGTTTTCAATTTATTATCCATTGCTAAACATTTATATTTTGTTAAACATTAAAGTTATCTTGGGTGTCACATTCAAGATCTTCACTTGAGTCTTTCCAATTTGATTTTGTTTCCCTGAAATTCATGATAATTAATTGTAAAAAAACTAGAAATTTAAAACAGATAGATTATAAGTACCTACTACAAATACCTATGATTTTAATTTATAAAAAACTTAAAATAAAATAAATAAATAGGTATGAGTTTCGATCGTACGTTGACTTTTTCATTAACTTGTCACATCAAAGAGACAAAATTAAATCTTGTTCTAAAATTCTTATTGGTTTACTAGATAAATAATAGGTAAGTTGAAAATTAATTTATGTCCAAAGACAAAAACTACCTTCCGTAGTGAATTCCAAACGCTGCTAAACCTTAGTGTTCACCAACGATAAGCTCCTGCAGGTGATTGGAAAACCTGTGTATGGCTCCAAGGTCCATCGATATTCCGAATAAAGTCCTGATGTGTGCTGAGTGCGTCGTCCGACACCGCATGTTAAAAGCTTGCCTGCTGCCCTGCAAATGTTGAAGAATGTCATATTAATTCTTCACCACAGAGACCCAGAGAAAAATGTCACTGGACGATCGAGTTATAGGTTTTAGGTTACCTACAGGTAAATTGTTACTTTTGGTGGGCCGACTTTTGACTCTCGCCTACGACGCGCTGACGTGACCGCACGACTAGAGTGCCGCTGTTGGTAAAAACCTTTCCGCAGACGTCGAAGACCCACCGGAAAAATCCACCTCTATCAGGATTCTTGGGCTATCATCAGACTAGGAATGACGAGAAGCACATGCATTTTTCTACTGCCCCAGATGGAAATAGAAGCAATGGACAACAATGGATACCATTCCTAACTAGTACCTATATCAAGATGATACGTATAGATAAAAACGACGTGACTGACTTATACTTGACCACCCCAGAGCTGTTTTCTAAAAATCACGTCGACAAGGCAACAATATGAATTAATAAACACTGATAAAATATGAAATATTGATACGAATGATAAGAATCACACGATGGCGATTATTTACTATTGTGAACTTTGTGTGTTGAGTTACCTGTGTGCCGATACCAATGATGTTTAAACTTGTAACTAATAATTAATTTTTATAATATTATTTTGTTACAACAAACGATCCTGCTTGGGGGAGTACAATGCTCAGATCGGTCTCCCCGCGTGCTAGCGGTTCAGCCAGAAGAAGAAGAAGAAGGAAATGATAGTATATTATTATCGGTTGAATAACTCTGATCACGATTTAAGTTGTTTGTTATTTAGTGCAACCTTGTATGTAGTAAAAAAAATATGTAAACAATGTGTGTTCAAATGCTTACACATTATTGTGTGTGCGGAAGTTTATAGTACCTTACGTTAGTTTTTATTAGTATAACATTACTTGTACGTACTTGTTTAAAGCAACATCATCAATTACCCCTAAGAGGTAATAAGTTAAACAACTTTAGTAGGTAAATAATAATTACTTTCATGAACTCGATAATTATTCAGGATAAATTAATTGCAACTATATACTATATAATTTAGGTAGGGCAGGTATACGATTTTATCAAACATTTTTTATACGTAATTTCCAGCTCAAAGTTCACGCATAATTTGAATTTACATAAAATTTATATTGTATATCATAACCGCGCCCACACTATCTGTATAAAACTCGACCTGCGTTCTGTATAATCTAGGCAATATTATGAATAATGCAATACGTCATATTCATTCGATTCCCAAACAGCTGATATTTATACATTTTATAGAAACGTACAATCAACGCACCACACATTGGGGATAATATCGTCCTAGTTCCTAATAATAACAGACAATATTATACTGAAGGGACTACAGGGCGGGCCTCCGTGGTTTCCCGTTTTTCAGCGTCAACTATATAACGAAAATCCGGGAAAACGTGACTCGTCCAATTAATTGTGATAGCGTCCCTTGTTCTGGGAAATATTGAATTCGAAATTAAAGATTTTTCCCCAACTCCCCTCGCCCTGACTCCTCTGCCTCAACCGCGGATGAAACCCTATCTGGTATAGGCATGCCAAGTATAAATAGGTACTCGCGAATCGGCCGATTTCCATCCACCCACCATATTTTGCGTTCGTTATTCGGTTATGATGACGTAACGCATAAAATGTATTTGTCGGAAACTGTAAAATATAATATTTTCCGAAAAACCGAGAACTCAATTTTAATGCAAAATAATAATGTCTGGTTATCCCTGACAGGGGCGGCGACGCGAGGGGTGTCATACCAAAAGTTCGACCTCGCTACAGGTTAGATTAGTGAGGCTTCGCAATTTGTTCAGTGTTGTTTATTAATACTATAAGAATTGTAACAGAAGAACTGAGGCTAATGATATTTGAAAGAAAAGTCCTACAGATAATTTACGGTCTTCGTCCTTCGATAGTGAAATCAAAGGAGTAATTATTATCTATGTCTTAGAAAACAAGATGCATTTTAAAAATTTAAACTATAAAGATATTTCAGAGGTTGGCCTCCTTTGTAAATTTTTTGTAACATATTTTTTTTTAAATTTATAATTATAATTTTTTTAAATTCAAATGACCTCCTTTGTAAATTTATAATTATAATACATTTTTAGATTCTGAGCGGAGCAAGGAAGCTAGTGGTTTTACAATGGTGTTTATTTTATTTTATTTTTTATCCTGTAGGTATACAAAATTTCTACCAAAAGGAGTTCTTCGATTTCAACATATAGTACCTTATCTTGTAGCAAATTGGATCAAGATGGTACTTTAGAGAAGTCATTTTATCAATAGTTATTTAATGCCACTGTAAAAACCACCGAAAAATTACGAAAAACCGCTAAAAATTGGATTTTATTTACTAACGCTTTGCTTATTACC